CCCCTAATACGTCTGCGGCGTTGCTAAACTCGGTCCGGGCTTTGGGAGTTTTCCCTGCAGGTCTGCGTCCGCCCCTCTGCGGCCCGGATCCTGGACGGAATGGCCTGCGAGGACTCCGGCTGCCGGGCTACAGCTCTGCGGGCTCAGACCGCCCTCCCGGTTGCCTCCCCCGCCAGAACCGACCCAGTCGCCCGCAGCCTCCTTTGCACTTGAGCCTTCGCGAACCTCCCTGGGGGCCCACGGTTGGAAAATGTGTTTTGCTCTTAAAGTCCCTGGCCAGTCTCCCTCCCTAGATCCGGGGGTTTCGATCAGTCGCTCAGTGTGAGCACTCGCAGGCACTGTGCCTTTAGTTAATAAAAACGAAGTAATAACTGGCCCTCAAATCGCACCTGCTTTGTGCCAGACACATTTTAAGGTGCTTTGCACCATGTTAACTCCAGTATAATCCTCACAACACCCGTAGACGAAGGCGTAGCTGGTCCTCTACTAACATGTTCAATTTCATTTCTCTTTGTTATAACGTCGATGAGATGCACAGGAACTGACCTCCTGTTTATATCCGTTAGCCTATGGTAAAACCGGTCTTGTTATCGAGTAAGTCGAGGACCTACTGTGTTTATTACCGCGAGTGCCGGCCCCTGCAAGGACGCCTGGAGCCGCCTGCTGCTCCTGAAGGTGCTCAGAAAGGTTTCTGATTAAACGGAAGGGATCGGGTAGCTCAGAGGCTGCAGGAACAGCAGCAGGGGACCTGGCCCTGTGCCTGTACTTATCCTGTGTTCATTGTGAGCAAGTTCTTTAGAACAGACATCTGCCTTCTGACTATTTAGTCCCGGCTTCTAGCAGTCTGCCCTTCCCAACTCCCTTAATTAAAAAGACACTCCTGACAAATACTCTAGCAGCGGTCGCCAACCGGTGGTCCGTGAGGTCTGAAAGGTTGGCGACCGCTGGTTTAAGGCAACCTTTGGAGCAGTGGTTCTCAACCTTCCTAATGCCGCGGCCCTTTAATACAGTTCCTCATGTTGTGGTGACCCCCAACCATAAAATTATTTTCGTTGCTACTTCATAACTAATTTTGCTACTGTTATGAATCGTCATGTAAATATCTAATATGCAGGATGTATTTTCATTGTCACAAATTGAACATAATTAAAGCATAGTGATTAATCACAAAACAATATGTAATTATATATGTGTTTTCCGATGGTCTTAGGCGACCCCTGTGAAAGGGTCGTTCGACCCCCCAAGGGGTTGCGACCTACAGGTTGAGAACCGCTGCTTTGGAGTCTGTAACACTTTCCACATCCCAATCTTGCTAGCCTACCTCCCTTCCTCCCTTTCTTCCCGGGGCTGGCTTCCCTAACCCAGTTTTGTTCTGGTCTAGATCACTGCAAAGCCTCCTAGCCCACCCTGGCCATTGTGGCTCACTTGCACCAAAGGGTCTTGGGTTTGATTCCCAGTCAGCACATGCCCAGTTGGCTTTCGTGTGGGAGGCAGCCTCTTAATAATAATAATAATAATAATAATAATCCTATATAATAAAAGGCTAATATGCAAATTGTCCATTCCACCAGGGGGTGGGGCCGGCCAGCCAACAGCCCGTGGACCCTCTTCCGGCTGTGCACGAATTTGTGCACCGGGACTCTAGTAATAATAATAATAATAAAAAGCCTCCTAGCCCTTTCAGGTTACTCTGTTTTCTCCTTCAAACACAACTTTCATTAAACCTACCTCCTACCCCAGGGGCATTTTAAATGACTTCCTTTTGCCTGATTTAGGCTTTTCCCCTACAGGGACCCTAAAGTGAAGTTCATCCACAGCCTCAGCTAACATTGCAGCAGCACGCTAACTCTCCACCCACAAGTCAGATTTCTATAACTTCCTCGCACAAACCTTTTCTCCTCTCGCTTTTCCTCCCCATTGTCCCCCGCTGTCTGTTTTTCCTTCTGACCTTGACGTGGATCCCCTGTTAGCCCTGTCATTGACTCTGCCTTACATGGCTACCGAACTTTTTGTGTATATTTGGTCCTTTCAGACCGTTCCATGTAAGGCAGCCACAGAGTATTGTCTTGCATCATTTTGTATCTTCCACAGCACCAAATACGGGGATATACTTGCAGTTAATGTTCAGTAAATTCTTTTTAAGTGATTGAATAATTTCCCTAAGCAAAGGCATTAAAGTAAAAATAGGTCAGTTCAAGCAGTTAGACACCTAGGAAACCGAACAGAAGCAAATATATAGCTGTACTATGGCTATAGTTCCACAACCCAGGGCTCATAGGAACACCAAGAGAGAAAAAAGTTCACAACCAAAAAATTACAAACCACTCAAAAACACATCCCATCATGACAGTGAATAGCCAAAATAGGAAGCTTACTACCCCTGGGAACTTCACACAAAGAGCAATCTGAAAGAAACGTTAAGGGAGAAAATGTAGTTTTCAAATAAAAAATAAAAAAGGATAAAGAATAGAAAGTATAAGAAAAAGACACTGTGAACAAAGAACAGGTACATTTGAAAAGGAATCCAACAGATGGGCTGGAAGTGGACGCATGCTCCCTGCAATGGCTGAATGAAAGAAAAGCCTGCTGAGAGTTCACTCCGCGGAGCAGCTGGCCGTGTGTGTGCAGTGGTCTCTGCCCCGCCCCATGGTCCCGTTTGTCCGTAGTCACCACCCCAGAGTGCTTGCCACACTGTGCTGTGGCTTCTGCTTTGTCAGTCTCCCCCGTTAGAGCGCAGGGACTGTCCTATTCATGGTTGGCACAGCGCCTGGCACATGGCAGGAACCCACTGTTTTCCAAGAAAATGTATGAAAAAGCAAAAATAATTTTAACAAAGATAAAATCTGTGGTAACACCACTTACAGAATGCAAACTTTAGCAAGACCTATGTGCCCCAAATTAGGATCCAACAACAGCAGGAAATGAACAAGAACTACGACTCTTGTAGACTTTATTGCCAAGGATATAAACCACCATCCCTGGAACCCCGTGGGAAACTAATGAAAAGAGAATACAGCCCTACCCGGTTTGGCTCAGTGGATAGAGCGTTGGCCTGCGGACTGAAGGGTCCCGGGGTTCAATACCGGTCAAGGACATGTACCAGTAGGGGGTGTGCAGGAGGCAGCTGATCGATGTTTCTCTCTCATCCATGTTTCTAACTCTCTATCCCTCTCCCTATGTACCAGTAGAGGGTGTGCAGGAAGCAGCTGATTGATGTTTCTCTCTCATCCATGTTTCTAACTCTCTATCCCTCTCCCTCTCTGTAAAAAAATCAATGAAATATATATTTCTAAAAAAAAGAGAGAATACAAAATAGTAAGTACCCACTATTGCAGCTAAACGGACATCAAACTAATCAGGTCGGGAGTGAACTTGAGCTGATATCAAGGTCAGCCTGAGAGTGCAGACCTCATCCGGGGACGGGCAAGGCACAGCAGGTGTCAGGAGACTTTACCCCGGTGGAAAGCCTGGGTGTAGGCTCCCAGTTTACTAGTTCTGGGGGAGAACATTCTGGCTGCACTGTTCACCTGTTGGCCTGGGTAGGGGTAGGGAGCACTGGCCTTCCTTCTGTCTGGACCCCTAGGGTCCCATACCCAGACATCAACCCCACCCGGAGACCAAACTGCCAAAGGAACCAATTTTAGGTTCTGGCATCCCTGCCCCCACTGCTCCCCACCCTTCCCCAAAGCACATAGGGTT